ATAACTACTCAACTGGATGTAGGCTTCAAAAAGAGAGAAAAGTCGAGTTAAAAATCCATTAACATGCTAATTTGATGATGATTTAAACATGGGTAGATGGATTTTTACGAGTGCTCTTAAATTTAGARCAGTGATCGCACTTAATCCGTGCAACTGTACAAACAGTTGAGTAGTGATGTTTAGTTGTATTTAGTAAATCGTGCATGCGATACGCAAATTAAATTGAATTGATACAAATGAAGCATTCAATACCGTCTTGCTTCAGGTTCATCACTTTTAGTACAAATTAAATTTTGTACAGTTGCACGGATTAAGTGCGATCACTCAAGCGGCGGATTTAGGGTGGGCCGAAGGGGCCGCGGCCCCCTTTTTTCCTGGAAAAAAAAAATATTACAGTCAAACTACCTGAAGCGTGAACACGTGGAGATCATTAATGAATTCATTATTCCATTATTGATTTGATTCTTGGATTCAAATATTCATTATTGAGTTTATTAGTCAACTTTTCAAAATTTTGAAAATGTGCAGTTATCACCCATGCACATATTATTTTCATTTATTCTATTCGTTTTTGCATGTTTGAATATTTTTCAATATTTAAAACTTCATTTGAATAATGAATATTTGAATTCAAGAATCAAATCAATTATGCAATATTGAACTCATTAATGATCACTAGGTGTTCATGCTTCAGGTAGTTTGACTGTAACAAGATCCTTGTCAATATCACTGAAAATGCTGGAAATCGCATTTTTGACGGTTTAAATTTCAAAATTTTTCGGGGGAGCATGCCCCCGGACCCCCTATATATTCCCGCCTTCGGCGCGACGCAAAACCATTTTTAAGTAGCTGGCCTCCTCTTGCTCAATATTCTATATCCGCCCCTGCACTCTACCCCTCACAAAATGTAAACAAAAAATTATCAACAAAAAATTATCTATGCAAAACCAATAAGGGGATAATAAACGCATGTGGTAAAAAATAAAGGAGACAAAAAGCACATATCACTTGACATCATTAAATTAGCATAATAGTTTATTACATCCAATTGTCTCTGAAATTTGAAGCCTGCATCCATTGGCACTTTGCCAAGCTACTGTTCTCTTCGTATTGGTTCTATTTTCGAAATAAACGCACTTTGATATCTTTCTCCTCTTAAACATATGTTCTCCTACAGGTGAAGGTGGCTGTAGAGATCTCAAGTTTCTCAAATGCATCGAGAACAAAACCTTGACTGGTCACGTGATCAATACGATCAAGATGATGACACCTGCTCTTCAACTGTGTCAGAGTCAATGTTTTCGTGAACACAAATGTGTGTCRTACAACTTGGGCCCAGTACATGGACAGACCAGGTGGTGTGAATTGAATGCCGTCGACCACTCGACTCGACCGAATTTCTTGGTGGATAAAACAGGCCATGCATATTGTCCAATCAAGGTTAGTTGTGTAGTGGACGTCTGTTTAATACTTTTTCGAGTCAATTGAATGACAAATGAATACACCCCACACAGGACATATTCCTGCMGATTCCATTGATGWGATGATCAAGCTAAACCATCAGTCGAGAATAATAGTTAAGAGTTGATTATTACTCTTCACCCAAACCCATTCTCCTAAGGCGTAGGCCTRAAAGAAKATTGAAGAAATGACRTAGCAAGGCCCACACATACCTAATTTAAAGAATATGATYGCGGTAAAATCTAGGAATGCCGATGCATAATCCCTAAGTCAGTTCAAACTCCGCTAGCTGGAAATCCATCCAATTTACCCCCTCTCCTCTCCCACAYATATACACACACCCTCGATCCACTAATGTTGCATTAAGAAATTGTAATAAGCTGCTGGGATGAAATTTTGGACGAATGATGATTCGAAAGTCAAAACCCATGTGACGTGTTTCATATAGAATRCTCACAACGGAATTCCTTTTCATTTTTTCTAATTATATCGATTTGAAAGGGATTAGTTTACAACGTTGTCTAGAGATAGTAGAATGCCATCATGGTAGAGGCTTAAAGTTTTCTACGTGCATCTACGCCAATATCTAGATGGAAAATGCAGTCCTGACACCTTTAATGCAACCTACAATGTCCCAAATTCCTTTAGTCAGTGTTTTTCCACCTTCTACARAGGAAGGCTATGTTATATCTGAAAAAAAAAACAAAGAAAAGTTAAAAAATAGAGAGAAYGGGAAAGTTGCACAAGAAACAGATGCTTATCAATACTCTATTTTATGTTTCTGCTTCAACATATGCCAAACCAGAACCCCTGTTTGTCCAGGCCTTGTCCAGCAGGAAGACTTTGCACTCCTGATTTTGCCTGGAATACGTACAGCTGTGATGGTAAGCATCATTTCATCAAATTAATGAAAGTTTGCAATAGRCGTTCTTTCGTTTTTACATATTGACCTKATYACCGTAATCGGTTTCCATGTTTATAAGAGTAGATTTGAATTAATTTATACATTTCAACGGCCTAATTAATAGCATGATTCATGGCCACTATATTCCGCCAGTCATCGGGATATTCTTTCTGTTTCGTAAGGCGCGATTTTATATGATATGTTGCGTGCCACCATCTTAAAATGATTAACAGCAAACGTAGACAGATATTTACTTTTTAACCCCTTGCCTGTGTTTTAAAGATGGAGGCTGGACCCAGTGGAGTCCATGGAAGTACCTGCTATGTTCTCTACCATCGATATGTACTCCAATTAGAACACGAACCTGCACGAGTCCAGCTCCACGAAATAAAGGAGCAMACTGTTCTGGGTCAGCGAAAGAACACAAGACTTGCAGACCACTWCCAGTTATTGACATTTCTGGTAATGAAGGCTTTTTTCATCAAATTTTGTGTTCGAGAGGTTGAGGAGTTAAAGAAAGAATAATTAGTTACTAGATATCTTTTCTGTTTTGTAACTCATGCCCTGGTCAGTGTTTGTGTCCAATACATGTACACTAGTTGTGTCAGTAATGCTTTTACTTCAATTGAAACAATTTCAATGTATCATCTTTCATTCTCTATTTATCACAATTCTCGTCGGCGTCTTTGACCACAGTTTTCTCGTCTTTGCCTGGTAAAAATAGCCTGTATGAATTGTTAAGATTTACAACACCCGGCCCGGAAAGACAAACTTGTAATGGGTTATAAAAACTACTCTAAATAAGTACAGCTTTTTCGATTTTTTTGGAATTCATACTCGAAGAAATCAATTTTAGAATGCAAAGAACCATTGGGAATGGAAGATGGACGGATCAAAGATGAACAGATTAATGCTTCATCATATGCAGGTTCTATTTCTGTACACAAGCCAAGGTAACATAACTCAACTCAAAATAGTCACTGGTTATMTTTTACTAAACRATTGAGTTTACACAAGAAAACCAGCTGAAGCAGGAATTATCTTCGATTCAGTGACCTTTAAAATAAGTCCCTTGCAGTTCATGGGAATGCAGCTCTGTCTAAGAGACGACACGTTGGATTTKAATTTCACTCCAACACAAAATACGTTTTTTTTTTACTTCAGACGTTTCTTTGACGTCAATTGGATGGATGGTATATCTCTTCCAATCAAGTTAATTTTTTAGGTTACACTTCTTTTTCATACTACCCTTCCGTGAGCATGGGAAGTAAAGAATCCAATAATAACCTGCTGTTTGTAGTGTTTAGAAAGTATGTAAGTTAAGTCGGGACAGTGATATCATTCTAAACTAACAATTTACTTTACTGGCAGAAATGGACGACTTCGAAAGATAAGGACCAAAACTGGTATAGCAGGCTGGGCTGCTGGTGGCAAAAAAATTGATGAATACATACAAATTGACCTTGGCATGGTCAAGGTCATCACCATGGTGGCAACACAAGGAAGAGATGACTGTTGTCCACAGTGGGTTACTAAGTACTCGTTGTCGTACAGCGCTGATGGCACTGAATGGAAAGATTACCAAGGAGACTGTACGAAGGTTAAGATATGAATATGAAGACCGCAYGGCACTATGATAAACACGATATAGAAATGAAAGAAAGTTATAGTGCTTAGAAGGAGGCAATTCCGGGAGAAGTCCCTTAGGAATAAATTCGGAAAAATTAATTTCCGACCTTTTCGAATCCCAGCGAGGTCGGAAATTAATTTTTCCGAATTTATTCCTCAAGGGACTTCTCCCGGAATTGCCTCCTTCTAAGCACTATAACTTTCTTTCATTTCTATATCGTGTACGAAGGTTAGATGTGTTTTCAAGTCGTGAAGGTGCCTCTCTAAAACCTATACATTCAACGTTTTTATTTGCCAAAACGAAACAAAACAAATCAAAAACAAACAAATGGTCCAAAACAATTATGACCCTCACCAAATATATATTACCACACTTGTGTGAATTCTCGGGCGCTGATTGACTRATTAGTTTGTGTAAATAAGAGAACAGAAATCGTCACAGAGAAACCATCACATCTAGCGCCGCGCAATCTGGATTTACAAAATAGTGTTGTTTTTTTTTCACCAAGAAATTTCTGATTAAAAATTAGGTAGAAAAACTAATAAGTAAGGAATGTATACACGTTGATTGGCGTTCACCAAAAGCTGTTGAACAACTGTTAGCTATTCTGTATGTGTACCTAAATGCTCAAAATTTTGCAGTGAGCCATGTCACCCGAGTTTTGTTGACATAAAGGTGCATCGATTTTTGCTATCTACTATGTTAAAACTTGAAGGGGTACCCTTAAAACTGTTTTCAGAAGTATGGACGAATTGTAGAAAGATGCATTTCCTGCTCGTAAAATTGATGATAATTGCTCGAAGACATGTATATTGAGTATTGTAGAGGTTTTGCCGTCTGCTGATCTTCTCTTTTAAAATCATTTCCATCTTAGATAGTGCTGTTTTATATTTAATACCAATGTTTATCTATACCTTATCTTTGACAAGAAACAATGTTTATTAATTCTTGACCTTTTCTGTAGTCAAAACACTGTGCCCTTCCCTATACAGCTATCGTCCACAAAAATTTCAACCCTACCCAAGCACAAATTCAAAACCATGCCCTCTTCTAATAAATAATGATAAGTCTCGTTCGTTTCGTAATCATATCAAGTCGATCATTCATGCTAGTGGTAAACTAGAATACTTCTTTTTTACAGGTTTTCCCTGCTAACAACGATACAACTACTGTTGAAACTCGGGTGCTTGAAGTGCCTATTAAAACCAGGCACATCCGACTGATTGTGAAAGGATTCAGTGGTCATCCTACGATAAGAATGGAGTTTTATGGCTGTAATAAACTATCCGYGTGATTATTCAAAGGCAGTAGTCTGTACTCGACGTTTGGATATGTCATTTATTTGTATTCTTTGTGGCTGTTTTGCAATACTCCAGTTTCGAGATCCTATTTGTGGAGCCTTGACCTCGAAAGCATGTAATCAGTAATGTAATATATTCTATTATTATATATCAAGTGTCAAAGTTCACTTTCCTAGTATCTTATTGGTCGAGAGTGTACCACGTGAAAGTCACAAAATTTTACTGTTTCCCGGCAACTGTCCACCAGCGGTCAATAATTCTTCGGTTTCATGTGACGTCACAACAATATGCAAATTTTAGCGACGCCATGTTGGATGACAACCAAATGCAAGATGGCGGCCGTCGAGTGACGTTCTATGGTGTATCTTGCTAGTTTCTGTCTAAATATAACGCTTCAACAACTTGAAAATGGCAATTATCTGCGCAGTTTATGGCTGTGGAAACAACAGCCGTCGTGATAAGGAGAAMAGATTCTTTAGAATCCCAAAAATCGTAAAAAACAGCGATCCAAACAAGACCGACGAGAAATTGTAAACTACACGCCGAAAACTATGGCTTAAAAACATCTCCCGTGCAGACTTAMGTGAAGAAAAGGCCGAACACACAAGAGTCTGCAGTGATCACTTCATTTCTGGTAAGATTTTTGAATATTTCTTATTTTAAGCTTCGGAAAGTAATGTTTTACTAAACACAAACTTTACGTTCCAGGACAACCATCGAAACTCTATGATCAAAACAATCCAGACTGGGCTCCAACACAACGCATGGGACACAATAAAATCAAAGAACAAACATCTAGTCAATTATCAAGGAGCCAAAGATCACAAGAAAGAGAGGCTAAAAGGGTGAAGCTTGAAGCTGAGAGAGTGCTTTCTGAACTTAAAAAGTCACTGGAAAGTGCACAAGGTTTACCTTCATCAAGTCATGTTGAAGTGGAGGAAAATACTTTAGACACTCAAACACCTGGAGACTTTGGTTGTCAAACTGACATTAAAACTCCATCTCAAGACTTTAGCTGTCAAACTGAGCTCAGTGGATGTGATATCTTAGAAATGGAACAATGTATACAAAACATGACATGTGAACTTGCTGAACATAAACAAAAGGTCATTGATGCTGATCTCTCAGAGAAATGCTTTCAGGACAGTGATGAGAAAACCAAGTTTTACACAGGCCTGCCTAACTTTCTGATTTTCCACCAAATTCTGAGCCTGTGCAKCCCCTACATTTACTCTGGAGCAACCAACAGTTTGACTAAATTACAAGAACTACTTCTAGTACTGATGCGTCTGAGACTTAACCTCCCTCTACAAGACCTAGCATATAGGTTCGAAATATCAAAGGCCACAGCTTCAAGAATTTTTGAAAAATGGATTAATGTATTGTGCGTGCGTTTGGCCTTTTTGATTGTGTGGCCTTACAGGGACAATCTGATAGAAGCTATGCCTACTTGTTTCAAGCAAAGCTATGGAAACCGTGTTGCTGTCATCATAGACTGTTTTGAAGTATTTATGAACAGACCCTCAAGTCTCATTGCAAGAGCAATTRCATGGTCGAATTAMAAGCACCACAACACCATCAAATTTCTTATTGGAATAACCCCACAAGGTGTTATCTCATTCATATCAAAGGCTTGGRGAGGTAGAGCAAGTGACAAACATGTAACAGACAACTGTGGAATACTAGAACATCTAATACCTGGTGACCTTGTGTTAGCTGATAGAGGTTTTGATATTGCGGAAAGTGTTGGTCTATACCAAGCATCATTGAAAATCCCTGCTTTCACCCGAGGAAAGAAACAACTGTCGGCGAATGAAATAGAGGACACAAGAAAAATAGCAAATGTAAGGATACATGTAGAGAGGGTCATTGGTCTTGTACGACGAAAGTACATTATACTTCAAAGCATTTTACCAGTAGAATTTGTAACCGCTAAACCTGGACAAAGTGAAGCACCAATTGACAAGATAACCAAAGTATGCTGTGCACTCACTAAGTACAAAATCGCAGAAAAACACTCTTCAGTGTGGTGAAAATGCCACATTTACGGACGGTGAATGATTCCAAAATTGTTTTTCGTCTACAAATAGTTATTGTATTCATTGTGTTATTACATTGATTGATTTTATTTAATGACATTTGACTATTTGTATTGCCATTTTTCAGTCATTTTATCAAAATCTTTAATAAAAACACTTCATTTATTTACGTTTTTTGCTCTCTTTGACACTTGATATGATAATAAAGCACTTATTTACTGGAAACCTCGGGAAACAGTATGTTTTGCGGTCCTTCGACCGCTGATGTTTCCCTCTGCTTCGCTTCAGGAAACATCAGCGGTCTCGGGACCACAAAACATACTGTTTCCCTCGGTTCCAGTAAATAAGTGTTAATTATTAACTAGAGATCCTATTGTTATGCAAACACTCGGTGTAAAAAGAAGACAATAAATATGACAACAAAATAATATGATTGATTGAAGCTATATAAGCTTGCAAAAAAGAGAGTTCGCGTATCAATGAATGGGTATTCCATCTCAAAAACAAAGGTTTTCCAAATATGGTATCAAACTCGTTAAGAATCAAGAATAGCAAAAGGTCTTGATGAGCCCGGGAGATTTGAAAAACAAAAGATTTTCAGAGAGCGCAAAATTTGAATATTGCGGTTGACTTAACACACCGACTTCGGAAGTGTTCGGAAAGAGCAAAACAAATTTAAGAGGGGGCTACTTGAAAGGTTTTTTGTCACCGAGKCAAACCACCGTGGGGGAGGGGGTGTTTAAAGGAATTTTAAAGGAAAACTTATGTTCCTACACATAACTACTGTACTGAAACGTAACAGGGATTATTTTGGAAATGTAAAATACGCTATTCCAAATAATTCATTGCAATTTTTCGCAGGTCGGTCTTGAAAGTTTTACTACGCTTGAAATCCTGACATACAGTTCTWGTTGTAGTTGTTTTAAAAGAGCGCTTGAGACATTAACAGTCCCGAGTTGTAGTGTGTTATTCGACTGAAGTTTTGAAATAACGCTTAAAATCCTAACTTAACAGTTCTAGTATTTTATTMAAGTGATCGTTTTTAAAGGACGCAGGTGAGTATTTCCGTAGTTCTGAAACAATAGCCCATCCTTTCTTTGTTACTATTATAATCATGTCTAGTCACTGGAGATCCAAGAGGCGACTCTTTGATTCGACGTAGTTCAACCTTTTGTTGTATGAATCAAAACTCTGTTCAATTTCTTTGGAAACACTGTAAACACAGTCGTATTAGGAATTCATGATGAGTCATTGGCAAACAAGTAAAAATACATTCATATTTTATCGAATTTCGTCGTAGCTTCTTCAACGCTYTAGACTGTCTTTCAGAATATGACAAAGAATCAATCGAAATGTGTTAAAGAAACATGTTTTCAATACTATATTTTTTTTTGTGCTTACAATAGTATTACCAGTGAAAGGTAAGTTATAATTTGACTTGAATTTTATTTAGGCTTTTATATTTCTATAAGATAAATATATTTTAGCATATAATTAGAAAAGATAATTAGATGAGAGAAGTTTTATATTCACAAAATTAGCAATGTTAGACCTTGAGTAGAAGAATAGTTTTTATATCTATTTCTTTCTTGTTTTTTCTTTCTTACTCTCTTTCTCCCTCTCTCCCTCTTTCTTTCATTGCTTCTTTTATCTTTTTTGTCAATTTCTATGATACATATAGAGTCAGTGCATGAAGTCAATCTAAGAAAATTTTGTTGAAAATTTTGCTGTGATAGTTACTTTTGAACATCATTAGAGCGAAGGATTTCGTATGAGTGGGAAACGGACGGTACTTTACTGTGACCGTAATCGTATACTGTAATCAAATTCTAGTGCCCCATTGGTTCACCAAAATTGTGAAGGYCAGGTCCGGTAACTGTGCGATAACCGTGCGGTAACGATGTCCCGCTCATACGAAATCCGCTCTAGTTGGTCATAGTCGATCTGCTTTTCGTAACATCCAGTTTCCTCAGGCAACTGTCACAGCATAGTGCCCTCGAATTAACTACCCTATTGTTTAAATAGCCTAATTAAWGTATTGTAGGAAAAACCTTCGCGTACGGTCTCGAGCGGCCAAGTCCAGAAAGCGAACAACCAGAACAGTAACAATGTAAGGAGACAGGTTGCCAGATAATTTATTGGTCATTTGTAACGAACATCGTTGTGCATTTAATATGAAAATATGAAATTAGCATTACCCTATTCAGACTGGGGGGGGGGGGCTTTTGAGCCCCCCCTCGCGTAAAAAGCCATAACTTTGGAACCAAGACAGCTACAGCTCTGAAACTTTCGGACTTTTCCTAAAATTTATCTGGGCAGATTTTGATGTAATTTTTTTGTTGGTAACGTAATCCATGTCGCCATGGCAACCAGTTTTTGACACATAGGTTTTCAAAAATGTAAAATATGCTTAATTTTTCATTTTTTAAAGCTTATTTCTTGTTTTATTATGCATATTTTACCTATTTGAGCTTGCTCCCATTGCTGACTCTACAATACCATA